TCGGCACTGCTTCTGGATATCGCTTTTTGGCAATTCCATGTTGCATTACAATTATTGTTGGAGGATTTTGAAGGATTGAGGCAGTGGTTGCCCTCCACTGAACAACATGCAAAGAATAACAGATGATTTTGGAGGATTGAGGCAGTATCTACATTTTGTAAATGGTGGAAATTGGGGGATTTTAAAGGATTGAGCAGGGACCCTAGCGGCTAGTAGGAACTTATAAATTATACTGAATGCTAGCTTCCTTGCAAATTTAAGTCATTTCACATTGATGTTATGCAAGTCACCTGAGCTCCAACAGTCACAGTGTAACAGATGCATTCAATTTATAGTACCACTACACTTTCCTATTTGGGGGGGGGGGGCGTATTTCAAGTTCACTTAAAACAAAATCATTAAGTTCTTCCCTGATGAGGCAGATAAAAACTTATGTCAATCAACGCCCCTTGAGTTAGGCCTACCGGTATAGGCCCTATTCTGTCTATGAGAACACCAATTACAATGTGTATGAAACCATTTTTTTTTTTTTAAAGGGACAAAACTGCACTTCACAACCAAAATTGCAATGGCTGTTTTCTAGGCCTGGGTGTAGTCTTTATTTTTTAATTACTTGGATCACAGATTTTCAGGTGTGGGTGACTAGTCAATTTCAATAGTCGCGACTACTTTCAGTAGTATTGACTACTAGTCCCACTAGTTGTACAGGCCTATCCTAGTGTTTTCATTGTTGCTTTTAGAACCGTCACTCTGCAAAAAGTCCAAATATTAAAACTGAGCAATCTTGCTGTTGGACACAGAGTTTTCCTGTTATTGCTCGAGTCAGTTGCAAAACGTAAGCTCTGTGTGCACGGAGATTTTCCTTCAGACTTCATCATGCGATCTAGCTAAAAATTTGTTTTTACAAAAAATTGTCACCCTCCCTGCGAGAGATGAGACAAACATCCTCCAGCTTTGGGAGGGTGGGGTGCCTGGGAGAAGGGGGCGATTTCTTGTTTTGACACTCCCAAAGGAAGAGCCGGCAATCAGGAGTAAATCGCCCGGTTCCTGTGCAGAGGGAAACTTGAGGTCATTTTCAGCAGCAAAACAACTCGGGAAGACGCCCGACTTTGCCCAGGCCCTCTTTTAACTCAAGACATCAAAACAGATAAATTTAGAAGCGATTTAACAACTCGACTTGGAGACATAATGAGTTTATAAGGATGTGTCTGCCAGGCGCGTGAAGTGTCACAGGTTGAAATTAGGGTCAGACAGTTGGTCAGTTTTTAAACACTTAGGGCCTACCCCGTTTTTATTTTTGTCTAAATAAAAACGAATGTGTGTGCAGTCAAATGATGTTCTCTCTAAACACTTTCTAAATTAGTGAAATAATCCGACAGGTTGTATTTGACAGCTCGAAATTTATTGTGCAAAACTTTTTTTTTTCTGAGCACTTTTCGTATCAAATATCACCATCTGGATGTGTCTACCATATGTACTGGTACAGTATACATAGTATGCACGAAATTATACTATTAAAACAAATGGTCCACTTAATAATTGCGTGCGACCTTATTCCGGCTGAATATGACTTAAAGGGAAAATACAACATTTGCAAACATCAAAAAATATAACTACCGGTACCCAATCATTTTGAAATACCTTGCTGGACTGTTGGTGAATGACAGTGTAAAGCATCCTGTAAAATCATGGCACCTGGTATACTGTCATTTTCAAGAAAGTGGTATTTTTGTATCAATTTCCAACGCTGGTCGGCCGACCAGCGTTGGAAAAAAACTGGCTTTTTTTCAAATACTGGCCCCAATTGACCATCGCACTTGTGTTTGCAATCGATTACACACCTACCGGTATGAACGGGTTCAAGCCAGCTAGACTGGTTCCCTGACCTTACAATTCCCCAATGTATGTAAACTGCTCTGTTTCTTCTTATATGGAGTCAGGGAACCAGACTACAGGAAAATGATTGTTTTTCTTGGTTTTTATAGTATTTTCGAACCCAAAACCTCAAAAAAGTCAGTGTAACTATATTTGCTATATTTCCAACCCCCCAATTCCATCCATTTCTGAAAATTACAGCAATTTAAGCAAATGATTCCCTTTAACTAATCCATTGCAGTCAGAAATTTCTGTCAGTTGCTATAGACTAAAAACACCAGTTGATCGTCCTGTTTTTTTTTCAAAAATTGAAAAATAGGCTAAAAAAACATATTTAGCTTGCAAGAAATGTGCCTTAAAAAGGCTGAGGCCCTTTTATTCAATAGTTCTGGGTAGTTGTCTACTAGCTTGATGACCACAAAACCTTCTGAAAGTGCTTATTGAACGTTAGTAAAGCTATTACTATTAGAAGCATTTGAACTTCTGAAACATCTTTTAACAAAAATATTATGCCTGAAATTAAAAAAAAAAAAAATGAGGCAGCCTCAAAAAAGAAAGTGGGCGGGGACGATCAACTGGTATTTTTTTTACTAGGCCGATACGGATGTAGACTTAAAAGTTTTTTGTCGAAACTGGTAGTCGATTTTAGCAAATGTTTACAATCGTTTGCTCGGCTGTATCCAGAGGAAGATTCATGAGCATTAATGTAGACCTAATGCAAGTAGAGGGTTGGGTAAGGCGTTAACAGTAACACCTAAATGTAAAAATTTGGTCTTGAAGTCTCTTCATATCAATTTCAGTATGCTAAAGACATTTTAGTACGCATAGTTTCACAAACTATGTAATATTTTAATAGCTATTCTGACACCTTGTTCTGGAATCGGGAAGAAAAGAAGAGGTCCTACATGTTCTTGTATACTACACAAGCTTCTTGTGGAAATACTTATGAACTTTACAAGTTCACAAACTGACAAAAAAACACTCGTGATTTTGTGGCCCTAGGTACCAAAAGCAATCCTGTAAAATCCTGTCATATCGCCAGCCATGCATAATGTCACTCTCAATGGAGTTCTTTAAAATTGAACAATGAGCGTTTTCTTTAATTCAATAGCCTAGCTAACCATTGAAAGTGGTATTAAACTGCCCAAAAGAAAATATACGGGCCCCTAGAAGCCATATCATGCCATATTATGACAGACGCCTATGAAAGAACTTGGAGCTCATTGAAGCGAATCCTTCACAATGTGAAAATTGGTCAGGTGCACATAATGTTTGCAAAGGCTTGGGCCCACTCATTTTAATTTTTTTTCACAAGAAGCAGTTAAATTCCCAACGTTTGCAACCAAGTACATGTACCGGTACACGTAACAGGTTTTTCCGGATACAAAAGTACATGGATTTAGGCCAGGGATGGGATTGTCAATTTTTTTAAAAAGGCTAAAAATTTGATAAATTTAAAGTTCTGAAACATGCAAATTTCTTTACTGAATGTTCTCTGAGATTCAAAAAGTCTGATTTCGGACAAAAGTCTAAAAAAATCTCATGCCTGTTAAGCCCAAAACTGTACACAATAGGGCCTATAGGGCCCACATTGTACATAGTACAATAGGCGTACACCGTACTGGTATACATGTATAGGCCTACATGTATGTTGCACTAGTAAAGAGGAACTAACACACGCACGCAGGTGTACATGTATTGATTCCATTTTCGAAAAACGTGTCATTCATGTACGGTACCTCCAACAATATTTACAAACACATGGGCTTCCATATAATACATGTAGTTACTATACTAGTGCACTGTACAGCCGGGCAGCAGATTGTGTGACTGATTGAAAAAAAAAAGTGTTACACAGTCTGTGCACAGCATGCACAATCCACCTTTGAACTCAACTGACATATTTTGTCCCGCTCTTATTTGTACATGGGCATTGGCATTCTCAGTACGGTCTGTCAACAGGTTACTGGAATTGTCTTAGAAGCCTGGTTATTTTATTTTTATCCTGGCAAGCAGAGGTGGTAGAGGACACTGTCACCAAGATGAATCAAATATAGTCTTGGGAACTTTGGCACTGGGACCCAAGAAATTTCAAGCATGCTTCCCACACGCTGTACTTAATTAATCTCTTTCATAGCACCGTCTTCTTCTTCCCTTCTTCTTCCGATTTATGCGCCAACCTTTGGTTACAAAATCAAAACCTTGTCTCGGACCAAATATGAACTGTCTTAAATATTTAACAGATGGTCCACAGAAATACATGCACCAGATCGGTCCAAAAAAAGGGACGAATATGATTCAAAATATTTTTGGCGCACTACGAAATGATGGAAAGTCTATGTACTTCGTGGCAGGGCAATTCAATCCAAGATTCGCCACTTTGTGGCACAACCGATGATATGTTCAATAGCCCATCCCCTCCCCCCCCCCCCCCCCCCCAACCTCTAACTATTCTTCACGACAGTATGAGCTTCCAACCACCTGCATGCCATGCAAGGGTGGCGGTTGTCAAGTGGTTAAGATGTTTGTTGATTCGGAAAGAGTGCAGTATCCAGAGGCCACCTGGTAGTGTACAAACTCTATGGAGAGTTGCATGCATTTTGTAAATTATTTGTTAACAAATTTGGGAATGTTTCTCAGTCCCAGATTCGTGTCGGAAAGAATTCCATACTGGGCATGCTGGGCCACCACTGGTCTCCCGCACTAACTTAAGTCTATGGCTGGGCCATGACAGAAAAAGTTAAAGCATTGTGGGAAATATGAGTGGTGGCCCAGTATGGAACTCTTTCCGCATATTTTCCATAAGTTTACAGTGCGTTTACCAATACCACGTTTACGCATTTGGGGCATTTAAAAACATTGATCATGTCAATTGTCATGTTCACAAATAATGCATTAGCTTCTGGGTACCGAACAGGTAAACAACCATGGTACAATATACTACATCGGTTAGTAAATGGTCGGGCGCTCTTCCACGGACTGCCTTAAATTATAAGCCGAATATTAAATGTATACATTTTTTCCATTCACTTTTCAATATTTTTGTCACTTTATTTCAGTGCATATCAGAATGCCCAACACTTCAGTAAATAACCATGAATTTCCTAAGGGCCCAGGGTGCTTACCTATGTTCACGATCTTGATGTTCTGGTCTTCGATGAATTTCATCGCCACGGATACATTCTCCAGTTTTTGCGACCGGAACGTCGGCTTGGGGTTGTGCTTGGGCACCTTCTTCTGGGAAAGCACCTGCAGCAGCGCAATTAGCCGAATCCCATCGCTCAAATCGAGATCTAAATCGGCGATGTGCTTGTTGACACATTTCAGGTGCTCGTTACACCATCGGGTGAAGGTGTTTTTCTGGATTTTCTTCCATGGAGCGTCGTCAGCGAGATCTTTCTCCTTCAGCGCCATCTCTTCGTCTTCCTCGGCGTCGGGATCACGCTTCTGTTCATACTCGTACTCATCGCCAGCCCTTGCGGCCGCCCCATCCTCATTAGTATTCATTTTGCCCTTTGAACCGGACCTGTCAATAAAAAGGAAACAACGGAAGTTATTGTCATTGGTTGACACCGCTTCAATGGGAACCGCTAGACTGAAATCCCACTGAGCTACTGGGCAGATGCCACGCCCCATAATGATGTTTCCGTGGGTGTTCCTATGCATGGTTCGAACTCTCGGGGCCGACCTAATCATTAATGGGCGTGCGAAAGATTAACTTCTGAATTTGCTGCATCGTTTCGAATTCCGTTCTACTGATCTGATTTTCAGGAAAGTTTAGATGTGACCCCTTTCTTTGTTTAAAGAAAAATCCAATTAACATGAGAAAGAAAATGAAAGAAATTACCAGAGGTGCATTTGTTTGGGTTTTATTTCAAAGTAGGTGTATACGTGCTTTTTGGCACCTTGAAAATTGATTTTCGAATTGATTTGATAATTTGATAGCTTTCCAATGAGTTATCGCAGAAAACAAATCGGCCCATGACAAGTATTGTTACTAAATTTCAACTTTTGAAATAAATTTGAATTAAGAGTGGGACGCTCCTAATTCGGTCTGAATAGTGTGCAATTTCTGAACTAGAGCGCGCATTTAAAACCAATTTTGAATACTGTATAAAAAGCCTGCAAATTTTTTTTTAGAAATTTTGAAAAAGCACGTACATATACATGTACCAACTAATAAACCTTTTCGATATTCGCAATGCATCTTGGGTCTGGTTGACAAACAAACCAGGCAATTTGTGAATAAAAACCTATTAGGCCGAGTCGAGTACCAGTTACAAATTTCATTAGATTCCTCCTCATTTCTATATCAAGAATTTAGTGACAGTATCTTCACACATTGTTGCACAGGTAATTTGAGATATAATCATTTTAATAAATCATTTTTAAAGCCTTTTCAAATGAAGAAAATTTGGGGAATCCCCTTTAAGAGACTAGTTTTGTTAATCATGCATATTATTGCTAATATTGACCAATCATAATCAACAATGTCAACTCACACCTCCAACACTGACCAATCACAACTATTCCACGTGGGCCTGATGACTGGTATCCTGTCATTTTTAACATTATTTCTTATTTTTTGTTCTGAAGTTAAAAACCTTATTTTTTTTTTTACAACTTATATGTCTTAAATTCTATGCATTTACATGTGAATCGATGGTCACTTTTTTTGGAAAGATACTTTAAAGCTTGACTGGTTCCTACCCGGTACCCCCATAGGTTTGTGCATAAACTGCGTAGCTTGTTTGTCATCCATACCCATGATACAATGCGAAAATCCAAAAAGGGTTATTTAGGCCTATTTATGGTTGGGGTTGGTATGATCCACAATAAATTTGGATACTTCATTCTGAAATCTACCAATAGTTACAATCTTTCAACTTCTGTGTCGATGAAGCATTGAAGCTTCAGCAACTTTCAAATAATGCAGCAGAAAATATAATGGGGAAAATCCGTCGATAGAAATTTACAATTTACAAAACTCTGAAGTCAAGGGTTTTCTATTAATGTTTTAGATAAGGAATCGCTCAATGGTTACTGCAAAAAAAAAACATCGGGCCAACTACAAAAATGCGCATCGAATCTGACACTGCCCAGACACACAGTAGAAAACGAAACGTACATGGCATTCCTGAATATCAATTAGGGGGGCGTGTCAACATAATACCACCTGTTCACAATCATGCGCGTGGTGCACTGCACACCGTCAAATTACACACAGTAGACCGAGTAGTGAATGCGGGGGTTTAAATATTACTGTCAACAATGTCTGAAGGGTATCCCATGGATCCGTCGGAAGCTCTCTGGAATTCCAACTGCATTAGAAATAGCCGAAGGTCAACCACACGGACAGACGTCACATCAAACCACAATTGTACAAAGGATACAACATGAAATGTTAATGCCCCTCTACGAAAACAGAACCGTTAGAGTGAGTCAAAACCAATACGGACCAAGGCCAAGATAATTGGAACAAGTATTCCTCAAAGTTTCTGTTCATCTTGGAATTCTGATGTTTCATTTTAGACAGAGGTCGCCCGGTTTAAGTATGTATTATGTCCGACTTACAATTTGCATTGTATTAACTTTATCAAGTAAATCTGGTAGGTTTTTGGGGGGTGAAAATTAAAATAATGAATATATTATAGCCAAACCACTGTCTAAACTTGACTATGCCTTTTTTTTTCTTAGCGCTTATCTTACTCATTTCGATATCTGTGTTTGTTTTTATTCCAAAATACACCAGGCTTTTCGCACGCTACTTTCAAGGTAAGTTCAATTCAATAATTTGATCGTGCAAGCGTTTAATGGCCAGGCCCCATAGTGCGAAGTTGTGTGGCTGTAGTTGGAGTTTGACATACGGTCTTCAGTATGTGACCAACTGGGCGGGGTTCATCTCGCGAGTTTGAGGTTACTAGCCTTCATTTGATATGTCACGCACGATTTTCGTCCTTCTTGGAGAAGCAAGTTCACTCGCTCATTGGAAAAAAAGGCAAAACGATTTATGTTGGAATAAAATAGAAATAAGCCCATCGTATAACCTTACACGGCAGTGATACTGTTGAGACAAAAGCAATTTCTTTTTAATGATATTCATCATTATGGTTCACGCAGAAACACACGAGTTGGCAACTGAAAGTAAACAACTCAAATGAGCCTAGCCTCCGTAGCAACAACTACTTCATCATTCATATACCATAAAGATTTAAGTAATGTATTCAAGTGCTTACATATATCCCTAAATAGGGAGCATACGGGGAGGGAGCGGGGTTGCAGTGGCCCGTGTGATCTTTCGTTTTGAAACCCCGGCCCTACATAATAATATATCGATCATGCATGATTTGAAATCGAGATCACAGAATGTTGTTTTTCTCGAAATAAACAGCTGAAGCTGAGCTGAAATTTCATCAGGTTAGTTGTTCAGCACCCTTCTTTAGATTTTGAGCACTTTTGTTGCTTCAAACGAACAAAATGCACACATTACAAATGATGAACTTTATCTTTAATTTTTTCCCTGCCTAAAGTGCGAAAATCAATTATATATACATGCACTGTAAATTATCCTCTAATCTCATTCGTAATCAACCACGTCGATTTCAACTGCAAAATTATTAGATTTTGGACTATATTGTGTGAGTGAGCGGCGAATTGCTCCTTAGTCCGTCCGCATGCTGGGAAAGGTCGCGCAAAAGACAGCAACTATTCTTATGTGCAATAAAGGATCAACGAATACTGCCCGTGTCTTGACCTTGCCATATAATTCTGAAGCACCGGCAATGACATAGTTTTGTAAGTTTGCAGCGCGACGAGGTCGGAACAATTATCGACCGTCCTTCGTCAATTTAAAACAGCCTTTTATTGAGAACTGAAAGAAAACAAACATAGCATAATAGCAATGTGTGCGGTGACGTCACGAACGGTTGCCTGTGGGGTTAAGGGAAATTGATACACAAAACTTTTCTTGAACTGACAGCACACCAGTTGCCATGGTTTCACAGGATGCTTGAGACTATTATTTACTAACAGCCCAGTAAGGTATTTCATAATATTTTGGTACTTTTATTTGCAATTGTTGTTTGTTGCCTTTTAAAGGAAATGTACAACATTTGCTTTTGCTGCAATTTTCAGAAATAAATGGATTTGGAGGATAAGTATGGTATATAGCAAATATTGTTTAACTGACTTATGTCACTCTTTGGGCTTGTAGATGCTGGAAAAACCAATCATGTTCTTGTAGTCTGGTTCCCCGGACCCCACTTAAGATGAAATAGAGCAATTTATAGGCTTTGGGAAATTGTAAGGTCAGGGAATTAGTCTAACAGGCTTGTGCTCCTCCACAGGTGTGTAATCAATTGCAAAGAAAATGCTGAATAACTAAATTTGAAAAATTAGGAGAAGTTTTTGAAAAAAAAGCCAGTTGTCCCCAAGGCTGGTTGGCCGATCTTGAAAATGTCAACACACCAGGAGCTATAGTACATGCATGTTACAGGATGCTTAAGACTGTCATCATCCCTGACAATCCAGTAAGGTATTTCGTGATAATGTGATCATTTCATTTTTTTTGATGTTTGCAAATGTTGTTTGAGGAATCAATGCACTGCAGTGAGTTGCCGGTTGAAATACTGTGGCTCACCCCATCCCACAGTTTCAAGTGAACTCGCTGTCTGTTGGGATATATGGTTAGACGTGGGCGTTAAGTTTGAGTGACAGGATGCATGGGGCAGCCAGCAATAGCTCCACCAATCTATATTTGGTATGCGGTTAGGAATAATCTGTTTGGAAGGGAAGCACTTGTTAAATGATGGTTTGTAATTGTTTACTTTGTTTAAGTATGTTGTTTATGAGCTAATCAGTGTTATTAAATGGTTGTCTGGGATGTCAGTCACGTGTACGGTTAAAGATAATATAGTAAACGTTTTTTTCCAAAGTAAACAGCAAAATTAATTTGTACTAGGCTGTTTTTTTAATTGACGAACGTACAGGTTTACTCTACAGAAACTGGATCGTGAAAGGATAACGAGTTTTCAATAGTGTAACAAAAAGAGATGACTGTGAAGTGTGATTCATTGGTGCATGGTGAGCTTGCTTAAATCAATTATGTAATGATTATAAGCATAATTATGTGCGAAAAAAGATGACAGAGCTGATATTAATCAACCTTGTAATCTTAGTGGATTTTTGGGCAGTTCGAAATGTAGAAAGAAACAAAGGCGGATCCCCACCACCACCCCCTACCCCCACCCCCCCCACCCCCCCCCCCACCCCCAAAAAAAATGCAAAAGAACGAATCCAATTTATTTTTTAAAGGAAGGCATCACCATCTTTTCCTCAAAAAGATTTGTTTAAAGTGGTCAGAAATTGCCTAAAATTGCACCACAGATCACCTTGAATCCAAACAAATTTCTGGGCCCTTAAGTGGGCCTATAGGGCCCCATGCCGTAATTTTTGGGACCCACTTTTGGGGGCACCAAAATTGAGCCCCCCCCCCAAAAAAAAAAAAAAAAAACAAAAATTCTGTTC